TGAGGGAAATCTAACAACGATCATCCGCGAACTTGTGGGTTCAAGACTCTTGTCATGGTTGATCCAAGACCTCTAAGTTTGAATTTCTGACCAGTCATAACGGGGCAGACCACAAAATGGAGTGACGAGTCTAAAATCGCGGTGACTGAAGATACTTTAATGTTGGTAGCCCTGGTAAGACCTTGATTCAGTTGGCGGGATGGGGGAGGGGGGGAAGAGAGCAAATTGGTGGGGAGCTGGTCCAGCGCATGTCGCGGGGGGGTTGGGGTTGAGAGGGGCAGACATCTTGAACAGCGAACGTAGATGATGCACCATCCGACCGTCACAAGTGGCTTTGGTCGCACTGACCTATTCAACGTCGAACTGGCGACCTTCTGAGAGGGTGGAAAGTTGTTAAAAGCACGCGGGGAGGGTCCGTGCGTCGTTTCCCGCCTCTGCCAATGTTTCCGTGCCAGAGGGTAGGTGATGGATGTCCTCATTAATTTCAATTGTCGCGGTTTGAGGGGGGTTGGGGGTGAGACAGGTCTTGTTAAGCTGAGGCCATGACGCAACAGGGTGTATCTAAAAAGAAGTTTCTCAACTTGTGATGCTATATCATGGGTCTGACGATTCCCTTAGAATTATTATTAAAATTACGTTCGGGGAAAAAATCACATAGGAGAGCAACGTTCAAATGGCGGAATAATAATTAAGACAGATATGTTACTGACACGGGATAAATATATTGATTGGATTCTCCTGGCGCTGGATAGTAATCACTGCAACAAAAGTTTGGGGATTTTCGTAAATAGCTTCCCAAGATCCACTCTGCTCCATGAAATTAAAGGAAAAATATGCTTTCGGGTATTGCGCACTGGGTCACAACACTGAAACAGAGATTAAGTCTAGTGGGTCGTTCGGAAAGGCCATCCAATTCTTCGTACGAAGAACAAGGTGTTTGGTCAGAGCCGAGGAGAGGCCACGTAGCGCCAACCCAACCCTCCGCTGTTCGAGGGGGGGGGGGCAGAGGGGTAGGACCCGTGGAGGGGAGGACCAGATCTTTTGGTGATGACTGGTTGGCTAGCTAGAAAGGAAAACCGACGCTTTTGGTTGGCGAAGTAACTGCCTTACAGCGGGGGTCTTCTTACCCCGAAAGCATCACAAGGAGCCCGGACACCAGTGAGTGCGTAGCAGACACGTGTTGATGTGTGGTCAGACAATGGACGTGTTGTGATTGACATCATCGGCCGATCCCAACTAACGTAAGTACGGTGATTCTGTGGTTTACTTCAGTGCGACCTGGCCGAATTAAGCTACATATATATATATATATATATTTTTCGATCTGCGTCTGGACCAGGCTGAGACTTAGGTCAGTTCCGATTAGCGACTTTGCTTGAGATTTCAGGTTCACAAGGAGATGAGTATGAAGACGGCTTGTCTGCTTGGTTGTTACGCCGTGTAATCTGGCTTTAGTAAACCGACGTTTCAGAGGGACTTCCTGCCTCCTTAATCAAGGCGACTGTGGCAGCAAGCACCTCTTAAACGTCTGTAAACTAAAGCCAGATAACACGGCGTAACATCCAAGCAGACAGCCTAGTGACTTAGTTAGGAACATGCTATTGGCTCCTCGTGCAAAAAAACAGCAGACTTACAAGTGGAAAACAGAACGGGTTTAGTAAGCCTGGGAAAAGATGAAGATCTAGGACAACTTTGTTTAAAACACTTGCCGATACCGGACCTAAATTTCATGAATATTTTAAGACGTTTATGCATCATTTAATGTTATCTTTAAAATGTGAAACGGAGAATTCATTTCGTTATTCAAGGCCTGGACCGGTGTTTTAGCGCTGCGAGTTGTTTACACACAACTAGGTCGGCAGCACCTGCTTTAACAATGACTTCTTCCCTAAGAGTGCACGCATGGTCTTCGTATAAACAGTGATTACATCCTTAAACAGCGTTAACTGATCGAACGTTGCCAACAATCATGTTGTGTTCCCCTTGCGATAGGGACTGAAGCTTTAATTATTATTTAAATGAGTTTCACTTCCAAAGGAAATAGCACACAAGCGACTTTTGCCATTGTCCGCGAGACAATGGTCCAAACACGTGTAAAAGTTTAAATTGGTCCTTAGACCCACAGATTTCTTAAAAGAAATTACTCAATTTCGCCGTTTCAACAAACGAATGTCACCGATCCGGTTTGTTAGTTGTTAGGCCGTGTTGAAGGTCGATTGATTACAACTGCTCCGTGTTCGGGAAATTATATTTAAACCCGCTGTAGTGATTTTCCTCAGTCCCAGGCAAATTCCACGTACTACCTTAAGTCTAGGATGAATAATGAATTGTAAAAGATATGGAAGGAAGCGAGCATGACTTACTTCTAAGGTGCTATCTCAACAGAAGTGTCCTATTAAGTTATGCATTAAAGAGGTTACGATGTTTCGACAAAGATTTCAGTTGCCATCTTCAGCTCCCACCACCAGATTATTATAGGGATCCTCAACCACCCAACCACTTTTAATAGATAGTATACATTTCATTACAGAGATGTTGACATTTGTCTGCACAGTTCGAAGCAGAGGCTTACCTTCAAAAAATAATTTAAAATTAGTTCGTACCTAAACGAACACAACCGTTGGTTAATGCTGTTTAAGGAAATGATTAACAGCTATTTACTCAAAAAATAAATACACAGGGGACAAAATGCAGTCACTGGTTATGAAATCAGGTGGTACACATAATTACCACTGGACTCAGGGGGTTAATAAACGGTATCCCGAAACATAATTTCCAAACACGAGTCTGCGTTTTTCATTGGTCTTGTTCATTAATGCCCGCAAAAATCTCTATACAAATTAATCGCGAGATTGTATTTTGCCTAATACGAAGCCTGCCACTTTATAGGATGAACACTTTTCCAGGAAATTGGATTTTATTTTGCACCCGTACAAAATAAAATTATCGCCTTGACGTAGAAATCGTCTAAATAATATTTAAGGATTCAGTCCGTACCGCGAAGAAAACACCACACTTCACCATTACAAAGATCAACTGGTTAACGCCGATTAAGGAAATAATCGCTGTTTATTCTGAGAATCAGACCAAGTCACTGATTGTTGAAGCAGGTGGGATATACATGCAATTATCACTGGTTTTAAATTCTTAAAATCACCAGATGATTGATATCCGAACTGTAATTTGCAGATAAGAATTATGGAGATTCACAAACACTACCTCGCCAATGCGCGCTCATTTTATGCATGCAATTTGTACTAGAATCCCACATATTTCAGAACAGAGAACCAGATGCTTATATTTCTACTGCGTAAGAGTACAGAGGGTGATTACTGTTTGCTCTGAGTCACGTAGTTTCATTTGTCTGTACTAACATAACAAACGATAACGTGACGCTTCCAATGCTACAAACTTCCCCGCTGCTTTCAGAAATATAAGCGATGGTTCTGGGTTCTGGAATTTTGCGCTTTGGAATCTTATATAAGTTTACAGACGTTTCGGAAGTGTTTGGAGGCAGGAATGACCTGTGAAACGTCTGTAAACTAATACCAGACACTATCTTCAGACTGGACGACCTAGGTTCGATTTTCGTCGTAAACGTCTTTGATTTTATGAACACCCGGTATTTTTACACTACGCACGCAATCTAAGAAGGGAACTAAATGCAGCCTGGGTAGAAACAGTATCTTTTCCAAGAACTGTGAAGTTGTTACCCCTAATATACGCATTCAAACACGTAATCAACGATGAACTTATCTTTCATTAGTTTGCTATTGGTCAATTCTTGGGTGTCTTCCAACTGCGGTCTGGCAATTGTTATTATGATGCTACAGATTTCGTCACGAACCGGATTGATTCTCATGTTCTATTCAACAGTTCAAGAAATTCCCTGTTAACGGTAACCTGATATCGATTGTTATACCACGCACTCGAATTCGTTCGAATGTTTCTTAAAACTACTGAGACCATAAACCTGCTTGAGTCACACATCTTTCATATTATAACTTTTAATTATTGAACTACTCGTATTGGAAGATTCACCTATACGCAAATTTGATAATAATTAAACTGAAAACGACCTAGTACATTTCCAAATCACCAGAGATTTATAACAGAATCGTTAACTATTAATGAATTTGTCTAATTTCTAAGTAACACCACCGTGCACAGGGATAGATGGTGAACATTTCCCAGGGTGGAGGGGCTTTGATGTTAATCGTCTAAATGTCAATGTAATCTGTGATTCTTAACGCCATGAAGTCTTCCGTACGTACCCTCAAACCAGAAGACCTGATGGACACAGGTACCTTTTACCCAGGCCAGAAAGCTAGGTGCCTGAGGATTTGGGGTGGAGGATATTTGCCCAGTACCTGCTCTGTTGTGACTAATAATTCCGGGTTCCAGCTACAGGCCAAAGGAGTTCAGTTACCGAGAATTATTATATTATTATTTAGTGTTCTGTCTGACGACAGGTCCATATGAACAGGATCCTTCCATCCTTTTCTCGGACTGGGACCTGTTCATATACGTTCTTGGCAGATGATCCAGAAGTGGTTTGACATTGCTATCCTTCCATCCTTTTCTCGGACTGGGATCTGTTCATATACGTTCTTGGCAGATTATCCAGAAGTGGTTTGCCATTGCCTTCTTCTGTGTGTGAATGGGGTAATTGTTGGGATGCCACGGAGGAAAACTCCGTGTTGCCTAGACCACGGCCTTGCCCAACACAAGTTATAAATTCGGGCACCGCCGGGAATCGAACCCGAGACCATACCCGTCATTAAAGAGTTTGAAAGCTATACTAAATAAAATCCATATAAGTAAACATTTCAATGTTCTTCTGGGTTGTAATGCAATGTGGAATTGTACGTAGGCACCAACATTTCGGAAATACTTTGCCTCATCTCTACTCCTGATGATGGAAGTAGTATGTTCCATCGAAACTCCCTGATAGAGACGGGATGTTTCTCACAGCGTTATAGCCTAGTATTCTCCTACTTGGGATTGCTCTCCTGATTATGTTATCTTTCATCTCTGCCTGTAGAGGGTACAGAAGCTAGTTTCCAATCGCCAGTATTTATTTTGATCGGTGATTTCTCGTTCATTAATTTGTCTTGTCACATTGTAGACATTCATCGACGAGCTAAATACTTATGAGCCTTTTATTAACATTTTAAAATGACAAGAAATATATAATTTAACTTTTATAAAACAAGGTAACTACCGGACAAACAGCTTAATAAATTGGAAGGGACTTTGAAGGACGCGTTGTGACCAAATTTAAGGTACTATGCCGACACGTCTTTGGAGCAACTGCGAAAAACCACGAAAACATCAGTCTTTTTATGGACCCATAAATTTAACTTGGGACCTACCATTTAAGGAAGTAGAATTGTTTTTCATTGATATATGCATGCAAAACTGACATCAGCAACGGTGAATCCGGTTGATCTCAGAATAATGCCTTGTCGCAGGCCACCTTCAAATTCCCCGCCAGTCAGAACATGAAATCTCTCTCATTTTACGTCTAATGTGTCTGAAAACATTTCTACCCAGTATGCATTGCCTGAATCTTTTCTCTGAACCGTTAATATTTTTATAATACTTCTGTTTCATCTTTCAAAAATTTTGCTTTCTTAGAAAACCCTCCTTTTATTTCCCCAACTATATAACAATTCAAAATAATATTTTGGTTCAATAAAAAATATTTTCCTTTTCAGAATCCCTCTATTGGAACCCATCCTGAGCCAGCTCACTCTTATTTCATCTTTCTATAGATCCATTTTAATATTATCCTCCCATCTAAGCTTAAGTAGTATATTCAGGTTTAGGGGCTAAATTTCTTTTGCAGATGCTGCAATACCTCAGAATCAATTCTGAATGCATTCAGTATCCTTCCAAACTTAATATTTATAATTAAATATCCAATTCAAGGCCACATAACACGTGCAGTTGATACAGGAATGTCAGTATATCAGTCATGTAATTGTCCACCTAACGCTTCTTTTTCTCCATTTCCAATTATATATTACATATTTTATTCCCATTTATAACAGATTTTATACAAATATTTTCCTATATTTCTTAATTCTATAATTAATACATATCAAATCTAAAACTTCTTGACGATGGTGAAGAGTCAATTGAATAAAAATTTACTTGGATATTATCCATCGTCTAGTAATAAAACGTAAAAAAAACGTAAAACGACGTTTCGGAGATGGGGCTCTATCTCCGTCTTCAAGTTCCTAATCCCTATCTCCGGAGATAGGGATTAGCTCTATCTAGTGGGCCCAACTGAGTAGGAACCTGAAGACGGAGATAGAGCCCCATCTCCGAAACGTCGTTTTACGTTTTTTTACGTTTTATTACTAGACGATGGATAATATCCAAGTAAATTTTTATTCAATAATTAATACAATTTGTTATTATCTTTAATAAGCTACCTTTTTACTGACGAGCCATTTTCTATTCAAATGTCCCCCCTCACTTTCTTGTTCAAAACATTTTAATAATATATCTAAGGCATATTCATAATGTACAGGGTCTTACTCGTTATGTCTGTTGTGCAGGTAATGCTGTCATCAACGAGTACTGGGACAAAGGATGGACATGAGAACATAATTTGGCTCCTATCGACAAGGATGGACAGACAGTCATTGTCCTGATATCAGTTACCATTGACTTTAATTATAGTGAGCTACCATTATTATTAATTCTTTGCAACTAAGGATATTGATATTTTTGTAACATATATGAGGGGGCACTTCAGTGCAAGAACTCTAAGCCATAGGTATGGCACATAGCGGAGTGCAGAAAGACCACCTCTGCAAGGATTGTGGAGTGTATTTTGATACCATAAAGTCTCTGGATGTGCACCTGCAGTACCACAAGGAGAACCTCCTCATAAAGTGGGCGACGCAGCCAGATGAGACGAACAACAATAATGCGTCTTCCAACAAGCACAGGGGCGGCGTCACGACGGCTCCCGCAGACTCCAGCGATGGCATGATGAAGACTGAACCGGGTCGTGCGACAGGGAGCGGCAGTCCTCAGCCCAACTCTTTCAATCATCCACCGACGCCCAGCAGTTATAGTAGTGCGCCATCTCCTTTTCAAGACTCGTCAGCACAAAGATTCTCTCCTATGGCCTCGGCGGGTTACAGTCTGAGTGACAGGACTCCGCCCCACCAACAAAATGGGGTATTGCATCCATTCAGCCAGCAGTACAGCAACTTCATGACCCCCAGTTCAGATGGAAGTGGATACTTCATGGATGGCAGTAGCAATTCAGGGTATATTTTAGGCTCAGGTACAGATTTCCCAGCATCTTCCAATGTGGACAATCTCCGATCATCGCCAAATTCAGTGTCATCGCCGTCTTCATCGTCGTCTATCGGTCTTGTCATTACGTCGACGGGCATGTATCGTTATCATCCGTACCACCAACCGCACTCATCAGGGAGTCAGTTGTACGTACCTGATCGTAACAATGGCGTGACATCATCTGGACCGTCACCATCCTCATCCTACCAGCCACCACCGACACCCCACCAATGTGATAAGTGTGGCTTTGTGTGCAACAGCAGTTCAGTTCTGTTAGAACACCTCAACAACGCACACCCTCCAGCACCATCTCCGCCATACATGAACAACCAGATGCGGTTCGCACAGGAAGCCATGTTTCAGAACTATCATGGCAGCAATGAAAGTCCAGACACAGCAGTGGGCGGCCAGCAAGCTGCCGCAGCAGGAAAGATGAAAGATGAGCCAGCAGCAGAAATTCTGGACCTGGATTCACATAAGGTGCACCAGGTGTACCAACCTGAAGGAGAGGCCAGAGCACTACAGTCTGCAGCGAGCAGCGAGGCCTCCAACAGGGGTGGTCATTCCCACTCGGTGTCTGCCATGCTTTGGGGCGATACCCCACAGAATAATGTTAATCCTCACGCGATGTCTTCCACCGCACCTCAAGAGTTTCGTGGTGTGACATCTCCAAGTGGTGTGACAGTTCCTCACCAGCAACCCATGACATATCAGAAGGCAGGTGTATATTCCCAGCACCTGGCACCCATCCCCGGGCAAGTAATACACCCACACCTACATCATATCACATCAGTTCCTAACATCTCATCCTCTAGTCTTCCCCCTCCGGGTCCGATGCCTTCGACATCTCCCCACCACCAAAAGAATGGGCAATCAATGCAGCAGACTTCTCAGCAAGGTGGTAACCAGACTTGGAAGTCAAATGAGGCACGGAGACCTAAGACATACAACTGTTCTGCCTGTAACAAGTGGTTCACCAGTTCTGGTCATCTGAAGAGACACTACAACACAACACTGCACAAGAATGCTGTTAAGCAGAGTGGCGCACCTGACCCAGCCACGCAACCCATCATCAATCATCACCATCCTGGACGCGCTGCCACAGATGTTGGAAATAGTGCCCGAGGAACACCTGCAGGAGAGTCGCATGTAACCCAGCTCAGTCCTGCAGGTCTAGGGCACCAAATAGCATCTGTGATTGAAGACTCTTCCAGGAGCGATGATGCTAGTAGCAATGGCAACTTTGGAAGGATTACGCCATCAGTTCAACATGGCGGTCTGCTGCCAACTGGCAACCAACAGCAAGGGAGTTCCCCAAACCTGATGGCAGGTCCCTCAGTAACAATGGAGGCACAAATGGGGGGCCTGCACTATGTAACCTCCAGTTACAGCAGCGAGAACCCGCTACACAACCCTTCCAATTCCGTCCGTACATCTCCAGCGCCAGTCCCCCAAATGCCACCAGAAGCAGTTTTGCACCAACTGGGAGCAGCTCCACAGCCACTTTCTTCTCAGCACCCTTACATGTTGGGCCAAGTGGTTTCACCACCTCATTCACAACCCCAACCATCGCTGCCCCTCACCCATCATCTTATCCACCACCCTATCCCTCAGCACCAACCTCTGCACCCTTCCCAGCACCCCACACCCCCGCCTTCACTCCAGGTGACGAATCTAACAGAGATGTATTCCCCAAACGGGCAGCCCCCCCACATTTCTATACTACAAGAACACCAGCCAATGCTGCCAACTTCTATCAACAACCACCTCATACCTATTACTGGTAATTGTGGCAGCAGTGGAGGTACCGTGTCCCCGCTCAATCTGCAGGATGAACAACAGTTCCTGTTCCCAGTAACGTCCTCGCCTCAGCAGGACAAGCAGCCATTGCCTAGCTTTGCTCAGATTGGACACCACCCTTTTGGGGCAAACTCGCTAGTTGGCTTCAGTGGGCTAACAGCATCCACTTCATCTCCAAGTTACAGCATGGTGAGCACGGGACCAACCTCAGCAATGACTGATAATGTGGGGGGGCTCTTGAATGGTGACCAGCACTTGCTGGCGACAATGAAGCAGAGCGATGTCTACAAGAACAACAACAATCTGTACTGGTTCAACAACTTTGAGGATCAGAATAGCCTTCTGGATGAAAGCAGCAGCAAGGATCTTCTGGCAGACTCCAACGGAAACAGAGGTAATGGAAACGTATCATTAAACCTTTCACCAACCACAGCAGACTGTCACACGTCTAACATCGATTTCGACAAACCACCGCAAACAGAGACGCGTGCTACGAATACCAGACATGAAGATGATATCACCAGCACAGGTATGGAAGAAATTACAGCTATGGTTGCCAACAACAATAACAACATCAACACCACCACCAACAATAACAGAATAAATAAAGCCAAGAACTCCATTTTTAAATCCATGTCCATCTCAAGCGGAAGTCTTCACAAATGTGTAGATTGTGACAAAGTGTTCAACAAGGCATGCTATCTGACGCAACACAACAAGAGCTTTCATTCAGGGCACAAGCCATACAAGTGTGACCGGTGCGGGAAGAGATTCATGATAGAGATGACCTATGAGCAACACTTGGCAAAGCATGCGGGCGAGAAGCCATACAAGTGTGACGTGTGCCCCAAGCAGTTCAATCACAAGACAGATCTGCGTCGTCACATGTGCCTGCACACCGGGATGAAGCCCTTTCAATGCAACATCTGTAGCAAGGGCTTCATACGCAAAGACCACATGCTGAAACACTGCGAGACTCATCGCAGGAAGGCCGCTCATCCACATAATGGCATTCAGGTGGTGTCAGCAAAGTAAATACAATTTTATATCAGATATAATTAATCAATTCTTAATTTGTGACCTGAAAAAGCCAATGCTGATTTTTAAGACTAAGACTAAATTTTATAATTATTTTTAAATGTGGCATCGCAAATGCAGAAAGGATTCAGTTTCGACCTCCAATTATTTAATCACCTGTACTGATTTTAAAATTAGGTTTGTCGAGAACAGACTTTTCTTTATAATGACAAACCGTAAACGTTTCATAAGAAACCTGGCTTTTTTATTATAAAGATCAAGGTGAGATTTGAGGTTATGAGTGTGACAAGTATGATAGATGGCTGTCTTCTGACCGCACGGTGCGACATCTCAAAAGACAGCTATCTGCAGACAAAGATTGAATTCATAATTCAACATAATTGTAGCAGAATGTCTCATTTGTTGTAATGAATTTGACTTACAGAATTTGATTGGTTCCTGCAGTGATAAAGTATTCTAAATGACTGTCCGTTAAGTCTTAGAGTAGTACATTAAATTGTTTCACCTTTGTTAGATAATGTTGGTTTAAACTTAAATTGGAGAAGAACTGTTGAATGCAATATTAATTAATGAGTTTATACTGAGTCAATTGTGAAAGTTTTTGAGAGGTTTATGATGAGTGGTTATATCATTCCAATGTACAGTATTTTGGAAATTTTTTTGTTTGCAAACTGAGTGTTTGGAATCATCAGGCCTAATTTCTGATGGAGGGATCCTCAGTTTCTAGAATCCCAAGAAATTAATTTGGTTCAAGTTCCAGTTGAGTGTAATTGTGAGATTACATCCTGTTGTGATATTTAATGTTTAATTTTGCTTTGTATATTTCCATGACACAACTTTTATATATACGGATTTATAAAATGGTTGTTAAGATTACATAACGCTACATATCTCAAGATGCCACGTGTCATACAGTTTTTCCTGTTTTCTCGAGTATGTGATGATTCTTTTAAGGGCTTACATAATATTGTGTTTCCTCCTCGGTTTTCTGAACTGTGCCTCGATCGGTGAACTCTATTCCATTGACATGAAGCGACATATTCACCTCATATCATGGCAGTCGACCTAATTATTGTTATATATTATTTTTACAAGACTGATACTGTAAGATATTCCAATAAATACCATATTCAGGGTTAATAAAGCAACTAGCAGTTTTTGTGTTACTGTTGCTATTGTAAATGTAGAATTCATTATGTTGGTGTTGATCTTGTTAAAGTTATGCACCATTACTAAAGATAGGGAGATTTTTAAGTGTTTTAAATTATATCTGTTCTTTACGGGTGTGTAGGATAACGCTTGGAAGTAACAGCATTTTGTTTGTCAGAGGAAACGTAATGTTCAATCTGTAGAAATACAAGATAGATAGCGTGATTGTCTCTAACGGAGGTTAACAGAGGGAGGAAGTCTGTCAGTCAGCCTGACATGTTTCCCCCTTCTTTCTGCATTATGGACAATCGTATATTACGAGTCGAAAGCCACTTTTGGACAGGCTGCAGTAGCTTGTCCACGACTGAGCCAGCAATCTGAGCATCATCTCAACAATGTGCCAATCAAAGCAGAGGGTTGTCATATAATTTATTGTGTAAGATAACTTATGTTTTAGTCTCCTGATACATGGACGGGTTTTGCCATTGGTTGAACTTAGTGTTACGACTACCTCAGCAATAATGAGTAATCATGTACATATATTATCAGAGTGCGATCCAATATCGCCATTTGTGTTTTTTTAGGTTATTAAAGAAATTTTCATAAAAGCAAAATATTGTCCTGTTATTTAATTTTAACCTTGAAAACAGAAATTTTTAAAGCTAAATTGATGTTGTGAGATTTGAAGTTCTCACAGTGGTTAAGAAGTCATTGTTGGCCACTTGGACAGTAACAGTGTGTGGATTTGGAGGAACATACTGCCTCCATCTTCCACCCTGATGATCAGGGTGAAACTGATGATGGAGACAGTAAGATGAAAGATGTATCTTCCATACTACATGGTACCACATCCCAGACAACTTCCCTTCAACTTATTCACAGTGAAAATCAACTGAACTGCATTAGAGGGTCTTTGAAAGTTGATGGTCACTCAACTTGTCAGGGAATTAATTACCTGCTTCTTTGAAACTACAACCCAAAGTCTTTTTTTTTACTCATAAAACCTTCTTACTGAACTCTATCCACCTGACAATCAAGGCCACAAAGACCTGAAGTTGGAGGCAGTAAGTTCCTCTGAAATGTTCATCTAACTTGGGATCTACATGGCATTACTGGAAAACCAAGGTCAATATAGTGTTGCTGACTAATCTCCATTGTTTAATTTTGGTTACACTTGTGAATGTAAATTAATGCAATGTTATGATGCTAATTCTGGCACTGGGCACTTCTAAATGAGATTCTCACAATTTAAAAAATACTCATTCCCTAGAATCTCTTTACTTTGAAGAGGCTACTGTGAAAGTGTTCTGAAGGTAAATTAATGTCTAGGTTATTAGAGTATATTAGTATCAATTCCTAGCCTTCCAACATAAAGGATAACCTAACCTTACTAACCACGAACTTTAAGGCAAACTATTTGAATCTGCTGATCTAATCAAGGGTAGGCTTATACACAAAACTGCAAGAAAGCGCGAAAATAGTTTCCTTAAATTAGTGTTGGCTAAATACATGCAATTGTACTGAAACTTACCTCACTAGCAAAGTACCCCAAAAGATTCGGAACTAACACTGCACTACACTGTCTTATATCAAATATCACAAAACTAAATGTGTTAACTTGAAGTACATTCGTAACTCAAGACTCCATTGCTGCCACTGCCTTTGACAATATGACTAATTCATTGCATCCTATGATACTCAGGCATGTATATACTTGCACTTCATCACGTTGCACCATTTCCCACTAGTGTTCTATAGTAACAATTATGGTACACACAAACCTTTTATTCTAGAGTTATTGCAAAAACTAGCCTAATGTAAATGTTAGAATTTCGTATTATCACCGAATGTTGATGGATACAAAAAGTGTGTTGGCAGTTCTGTGGAAAAAAAAGTAATTCTTTTTTATATACTGTGCCTTTTAAGAAAGATATCGGTGGTGGTAAAGACCTGTTTCAGAAAGATGTTTTTGTTCCTTTTTCCGGATTGAAGGTGTAACTTATTTTTTTTAAAGTGGTGATATATTAAATTATGAGTGTCGCGTGAGAAAATGTACAGTAGCAGTAATAAAGACTGACTGGGCGTTAACTGGTTTAACTCTCAGCATGGGTCAATTCTTTATACCGCGTAGCAACTGTTCCACAGGTGAATTATCAGCTTCATGTCTTGGCCAATTTATCATCACAAAAATACAGACGTGGCAGCGATGATAAAATACCTGCCCTCCTTGATAGTTTGTGGCGTTTCAACAAAAATTACATTACCACGAAAATATGTCAGGCTTTCTTTAAACATGGAAACAGTATCATTTATCAAATCTTAGAAATATCTACATGCAGCCATCTTGTGTCTTAGGTTTGTTAGGGCTAAATTAGTACGGCGATACATGAATTAATCATTTATAAAACGTGCTGATCTTGAACCTGAAACTGTAAAATATGTATAAGGGGTAATTTCATACTTCCTGACACCCTGTTCTAATAACCGTGATCTTTCTAACTTTACTGATGGCGACAAGAAAAATCTACAGGACTTGGCGTCGGCATTTCCCTCTGCTGGCCGATCTGTGAAACGCGTTATTACGCTGGCCTCTTTTGTAGTCATATTATTTGTCCCTGTATTAGGTCCACTCAAGTTGCAAGATCTTTTCTTTACGTTTAGGGGGCTACAGCCTTCCTCCTGGACGTTGGTATTTTACATTTTCTTTCATTATCGTATCAGAGGTGCGCATCTCAGCATATTTCCAGTAGTAAATTACCCGTCAAAAACGACGGGGAAATCCAGTGCATATTTATAAATATTATTTCCAAAAACTCTTACAACACTTACTTGGTGTATAGATAATCTACAAAGTGATCAATTTAAAATTTGAGAACTGGATAAGTAAACTGAACGTGTGACAAAATACGATAACATGAGCAGGAAATGCAAATTAATTAAAGAGTGGTTCAGTGACGTAAAAGCTATTTTCAAAAATTGGAAAAAAAAAATTATGTAAAATGAAACAAGTGGTGTAAGGAGGCACACAAGAAATGAGATATCACGACTAAATATTGGAATTCAGGAACTGAAAACTCTTAGAGGGGGATTTGAGAAACGAAGATATCCCCAATGCTTGGGGAAGGAAATTGTTAAAAACAAATACTATTAAAACGTTTAAAAAGAAGTGGATAAGAAAACTTGTATGCAATAAACAGCGCAGCATAAATTATTTATCCAAAAATAAAGCAATAATAGTACTAATGGAGATGGTTCAAACATTGAAAATGTTTAAAAATATCCATTTAACATTAAACGTAAATGAGAATGAAATTAATAAGATGTAAGTCGATGGTACAACGAAAGTGAGTCATGGATACAAATATGTATTATATAGTAAGAGGGTAGCGCTGGAGGACACTTAACAATGTTTGTAGAGAAACACACCTCAATCAACATTGTCTTCTTTTGTTCAATTTCTGCAACAATATCAGTCCAAGAACACAAATTGCAAAGGCTCTCAGCATAAAAGTTCGTTCCCATATATATTATAGTTACAAACAAAACTCTGCAGTATGATATATCGATATTATGACGTAAAAGCGCCTCTGTGTGACACTCCAACAACGGACTCGATTTTATTACATTAACGGAGCATCCAGCAAACGTTGATGCTGTTGTCTGGTCACGAATCGCTCGCGACAGATGGCGCACATCAACAGGGATCTCGCCGATTATCTCCGTGGGAACAGAAGAGCAACCCCCTGCTAGGCGGGGATAAGAATCCATTCAGAGGCATTGGGAAGAGACTGGGATTCATGGCCTGTGTTGTTTTTCCATCCACCGGTCGGATCCTACTTATAATTGGTACTTTTTCTCACCACAGATTCTACAATTGGATCTCGTGTGCGAAGCTAATCCTACGAAGGAGTAGCTGACAGTCGCTCAACTGATCAAAAAAATTACCTGTCCTTTATGGAGACCAAATATTCATTATCATATTCACGAGATGTTATCAAAATGACTCATCATGTAACAAAGTGTTTCATGAAGTAAAAATAAACCTGATGATGATGTAGAATTTTATTTAATCCTTTCAAGATCAGTGGCAATTATACGTACCACCTTCTTTAACAATCGATAACTAAGCATTTTGTATTTATGTGTTTCGTATGATTATCGCTGTAAACAGAGATTATTTCCTTAAACATCGCTAACCAGTTGAACCTTACAATGGTGAAGCGTTGTGCTTTCTTTGCGGTACGGACTAAATTATTAAATAATAATTACACTGGTTTAAACTTTGTAGTGAATACGTAAAGAAATTAAATAAAATTCCAGACTATGCAGTGTGCTAAATTTTACAACATTTCTTTTATATCTGCAACAAATGGATGTCGGAAAATGTCTCGGGATAAACTCGGAAAACATGTTTACTCCAATTGGAGAACAGCTTCACACTCTGCCCCCTTCCTATAGCATTACAAGGGGTGGTTTAACCCCCTCCCAGCTCCTTTTAACGTGTGGCGGAGCCATTGCTCGTCTTTTCACGATCTCTCCCTTTCAAGAGAAGAAAGTAGGTCATTACCATGACTGCAAGGGGATGCTGGGCCTTTTATTTGTTGAAAAGACGCTCTCACGCTGCCTCGCCGCCTCATTACCTTATTCTGTTCAACAGCGACGGGACCTTACTGATCCCTGACACTGATGTGCTCTTGTTTAATGTTTCAGAACAAGAAACAGCACTGGGATGGTTGTTCCTCCTAAGATGACGAGAAACAGTCGCTGTGTGGGTTGTGGTCCATTTAGTCTTGCAGGTAGTTACCAAATTTACCATCTCTACGTCACTCTGAGACGTTAGTAAATATCTGCATGACCACTCTGATTCACAGATCAGAAAATCTCTATCAGCTTTTTCACCGTCGTGAAAACCTCAGATCTCACAGTCATCTGTTGAGGAAGCTGAATAATGACCCTGCGATCACGGATCTGGAAGCTCAAAGCTCGTCCAAATTACATTTAAGAATTTAGCTCGTACCGCGAAGAAAACACCACACTTCACCATTGAAAATATCAACTGGTTAACGCTGTTTAAGGAAATAATCGCTGTTTACATTGAGAATCATAGTTCGTCTGATTAATATTAAAGAATTCAGTCCGTACCGCGAAGAAAACACAACGCCTCACCATTAGAAAGATCAACTGGTTAACGCCGTTTAAGGAAATAATCGCTGTTTACATTGAGAATCATAGTTCGTCTGATTAATATTAAAGAATTCAGTCCGTACCGCGAAGAAAACACTATACTTCACCATTACGTAGATCAACTGGTTATCGCTGTTTAAGGAAATAATCGCTGTTTACAGTGAGAATCATAGTTCGTCTGATTGATATTAAAGAATTCGGTCCGTACCGCGAAGAAAACACCACACTTCACCATTACAAAGATCGACTGGTTAACGCTGTTTAAGGAAATAATCGCTGTTTACATTGAGAATCATAGTTCGTCTGATTAATATTAAAGAATTCAGTCCGTACCGCGAAGAAAACACCACGCCTCACCATTACTACGATCAACTGGTTAACGCCGTTTAAGGAGATAATCGCTGTTTGTTCTGAGAATAATACGAAATCCATAAATACGAAATTCAAGAGTTATTAATTATTAATGCAGGTGTGATATATAACCGCCGAACTTTAAAATGTTAAAAATGTTCATAAATTATGAATTTTCTAATTTTGTAATTATCTGCATTATTTTGTTACTTCCTATTTCTTCAGTGTCTCACCGCTTTGTTACATGTTTTTAACTCTGTCATCTGCTCGGTTAAAATACCTTCTTCTTCTTCTTTTTTTGGTCTTATTTTATTTAAGTAGTTTCACAATGAAACGTACGTCTAAGTTACAATTCAACACAGAAAAGGTTGATCTTTACTTTTGCGGTTGGATGACAAGAAGACATTTCTTGGATCTGAACCCGGTGTAGCAGATAAAACTTTAAAGGTTTATACCTGCCGTGACGTCACGAGGTTCTTCCCATGGGAATCGCAAACTGAGGGCTGATGTCTGGGGCAACAATCAACACCTGGCAGTTGGGTTCAGTGGCGTACTGGTCGCTGTAAGATCGCGCTAACATCAACAACAGGAGGGGACTTATGCCAGTGCGACACTGCATGACGACAGCTGCCATGACCTGCCCCATGCGAGCATCTGGTGGGATTCGTAAACACAGCCACTGCAGCCAACCTGTCCCAGCACCTCAAATGGCTATTTAGCTTCTTTGTTTCATTCAACCAATAAATGTCACCACTCATTCTCGTCATGACTCAGTTAATTCTTTCATGTTGAGTTTCATTCAGCAAAAAAAAAATTTTTTTTAAGAATGCAGAATTCGTGGAAGCTTGACACTTCAATCTGTGGTAACTAATTAAAACAGATTATCTCCGTGGTATCAGAAACAGAATATCAAAGCCTCTACTTGGTTCAATTCCACCCAGCTCCCACATTCTCAAATTCTCTGACTGAGTTCTAGCTTAATGTTATCATCCAATTTGAGTGTAAATCTTTTAAAGCGGTTTCTACACTGATTTCACTATCATAACAATGCTAAGTGACTTGTAAAATTCGACCGGATGATGGAGGCAAAAAGGACCTCTGAAACGTCGGTAAACTTCTACCATACTTCACGGCGCTACCACCCAGAATACAGCCATCTTCATATCGTAAAGTGATCACTTGTTACGAGCCGGTAA